CCAACCACACACACACAAATCTCACAACTGGTAAGATCTCTGTAGTGCACACATGGGCCTGATTTGTGCACCTTCGTCTCACTGTGCCTCATACATTCATTCATTCCTATTTTCTTTCACATATGACTACCTACCATGTGCCAGGTAGGTACTTCCAAGAGCTTAAACTAGTAAGTCTGCAATAGAAAGGAAAAGAAGACAGCAGATCAAGTGCCACCATAATGGAAAGTGAGCATCCACCAACTTAAACTAGCCCTTTGCTTTTGCCAACTTGGTTAACTCCTGAATGTGTCCCCTTTGCTTGTGCTATGCCAAGCCTGGAATGCTTTTCCTTCTTTTTTTTTTTTTTTTTCCAATACACTCAGGTAGTGGGATGCCTGCCCTCTCTCCCAAGAGAAAGAGGGAAGGGCAGGGCCCCTGAAGCCACCATCCCCTGCTTCTTTCTTTACTGGCCCTTCATGGCCCACCTCCAGGCCCTACACTTGAACTCTGATAGGTGAAACCTCAGCCCCTGCTGCATCCAACCCACTTCACCATTTGTATAAAGTTATGGAATTTAACAGCCAGAAGACAGACCCTCAGAGGCAACCTAGTCTTTCAACTAACCGGAAAATGAGGAAGTAGTTTACATGCCCAAATCACAACAGTACTTCAGAGCTTTAGCCAGCATCAGATCCTAGATATGTACTCCTGCCACAATGCTAAACTGGGTTTCCTAAAACAGGCAGTGTAAACAGCAAGGTCCCTCATACTTTGTTGCCACCTTTAGACATGTTCTGGATACCCAATATTCTTCTTCTTTCTCACCGAACTACTACTTATCTTTTTTAATTTTTTTTCTTATTTTTTTATTTATTATTTTTTTTTCTTGAAGGGAGGAAGGAAACTGATGAACTACTACTTATCGATCATGGCTCAGCTTAAATGCCCAAGACTCTTTCTAGACCCTGAACACCCCTAAAATGGGAGTAGGCGTTCCTTTGTGTGTCCCTTATCACAGGATATTATAAGCTACTGTTTAATCACGATATTATAACATTTTACATTTGATAGTGAACATCATTCAAGTGGTGTCATGTATATCTTGAAGACCACTGTGTCTCCTGACTCCAGCACAGAAAGACTAATTGAATGGAAGGAGTGTTAATACTCTTCATTCATTGAAGTGACTCACTCCTACTCTTACCCTAATCCAGGGCTGGGGAGCCTGCAGCCTTAAGGCCACCTGTGGCCTTCTAGGTCCTTAAGTGTGGCCTTTTGACTGAATCCAAATTTTACAGAACAAATCCTTTTATTTGTATTAATACATTTTTGTTCATCTTTTACATTTTTGTTTTATTTTAAAAATGAATGCATTTAAAAATACCAAAGAATAAAATAAGTTTAATGAAATAAATCTTCCCAATGAAATAATCTTCCCAGATTGGCCAGCACAACGATAACATTAGTAAGCCACGAGGGATAAATTGACAGCTGCTGCGCTCATGATTTAGCTCTAACTTCCCCCATCTGACTGGCGCCACTACCGCACGAGGCTGGTTGGCAAGTGTTTATGGGGATCGACTATGCTATTCTGTTATCAGCTTTTGATAATTGTGCACTGTATTTCTGTTTGAAGTGGAATCTATGAATAGTTGTACAGCTTGACAGTATTTTTAAATTCTGTCTTATTAACAGCCCATCATGTCAAAGAAGACCAAGAGAATGCTGAAGGAAGAAAACAGTTTTTAATGAGGATTGGGAATTGCAATATTATATTGTTTCTGCTAAAGATAAGATAATTTGCTTGCTTTGTGATATTGCAATATCAACATTAAAGAAATTCAACACTCTTCTGAAGAAAATAAATAAAAAAGAGAAATAAAAAGAAAAAAATAAGTTAAAAATTTAAAAAATACATAAAAAAGAAATTCAAGACTCATCAGCATTATAATAAGGACCACAAATATATATTTTTTTAATTTAATTAATTTATTTATTTTCTTGAGACAGAGTTACTTTGTCACCCTGGCAAGAGTGCAGTGGCATCATCATAGCCCACTGCAACCTCAAATGCCTAGGCTCAAGCAATCCTCCTACCTCAGCCTCCTAAGTAGTTGGGACTACAGGGACGTGCCACTACATCCTGCTAATTATTTCTACTTTTAAAGAGATGGGGTCTCGCTCTTACTCAAGCTGGTCTCCAACTCCTGAGTTCAAGTGTTCCTCCCTCCTCGGCCTCCCAGAGTGCTAGGATTACAGATGTGAGCCACCTTGCCTGGCCAGGACCACAAATATTTTAAATTAGAGGGAGCGGCGCAAAAAGTTATAGTGTAGAAATGAAAAGATGTAAAAGCAAAGACAATTCTTTCAAGCATCAATAAGACCTGGACATGATGCCACTGGAGCAACTTACAAAGTAGCTTATGTGCTAGGGGAAAAAAGGGAAGCCATACAGGGATGTATTAATTGAAATTGTGAAAGAATGCATTGTCAAAGTTGTAGGATGCATAGACTCTGATAATGTTTCAAAGTACAAACAACTGCCTCTTCCAAGGAGAACCATTACTGATCCTCAGCATGAATTAGCCTTCGACTTAACAGAGCAACTTCATGCAATACTTCAAAAGGAAAATGCATATTATTCAATTTCTTTGGATGGATCAATGGATAGTACTGACTTGGATACTACAGAACATTGAGAACAGGTATCTTCAACAACTTTCAAGATAAATGTCATAAAGTTGGACTGAATTTGGTAAATTTAGTGAGTGTATATAAAGACAGTGTACCTTCCATGACAGGAAAACATGAAGGGTTTATTGCACAGATAAAAAAAGTATTAACAGATTCAGATGCTTTCATATTTTCATTGTATCTTGCATCAGTAAAATCTCTGTGCTAAAGCTACGATTTTAAGTGACACTTTGCAACAAGTTATATGAATTGTTAACTATACTCTTGCACATGCAACATGGCATCCTCAGTTTTATAACAGGCTAAAGTGGAAAGAGGAGGTATTCAGTGTAGATTTGCAATATCGTTCTAAAGTGCATGCATTGGATATCATAGGGACAGCCAAAATTTTACCTTTGCGATAACAGATAGTTAAATCTTATGAAGGACAGATTCAGCGATGTAAATTATTAAAAGAAGATTTCTATAGGAATGCAGCATTTCTGTGTGATATGTCAAATCAAAACGACTTAAATATTTCTTTGCAAGGTAAAACTAAGCCTATATATGATATGTGGCAAAAAAATCCAAGCATTTCTGGAAAAAAGCTATCTTTTTTCAAAACACAGTTTTCTTCTCCCTCCCTCCCTCCCTCTCTTTCTTTCTTTTTTGAGACAGAGTCTCACTCTGTTGCCTGGGCTAGAGTGCCCTGGCATCAGCCTAGCTCACAACCACCTCATACTCCTGGGCTCAAGCAATCCTTCTGCCTCAGCCTCCCGAGTAACTGGGACTACAGGCATGCGACACCATGCCTGGCTAATTTTATATATATATTTTAGTTGTTCAGCTAATTTCTTTCTATTTTTTTTAGTAGAGACGGGGTCTCGCTCTTGCTCAGGCTGGTCTCAAACTCCTGAGCTCAAAGGATCCACCTGCCTTGTCCTCCCAGAGTGCTAGGATTACAGGCCTGAGCTAACACGCACAGCCCAAAACACTTATTTAAAAGGAAATTTTGGATGAACATTTTCCCCAGTTAGCAAAAGTCATTGATGAGCAGGATGATATATGCAAATCATCTGACGTATACGCAGCTATTATAGACCTTTTAATTGGAAAACACAATGAAAGTTTCACTGACTTTGAGACTCATGACATCACACTCAAATTAGCATTTCAGCCTCACCTAGTTGATGTCACCAAGGCACCTAAAGAACCACAGATGGAATTGACTGAGCTCTCAGTAGATGACATTTTAAAGTCATTGTTTGATGCTAAGATCCAATTGAAATATGGAAAAGTACAATAGAATACTCACGCCTTTGGCAACATGCCCGAAATATGCTTTCTTGGTTTTCAACTACTTACTGCTGGGAATCTACATTCTCCTACCTAGCCCAAATCAAGACGCCCTTAGGGTCCAAATGACTGACACCTGTCTAGAAGAGCAACTGAAATTGTGGACCTCCATGCTGCAATCAAATATTCAAATACTTTCCAACAAAAACCAGATAAAACAAAGTCATTAAAAAGGTTAGTTAACTTTAAAATTAACAAATAGTTTTCATTTTTAAAATTAAGTACATAGTAGTTAGATTTTTACAAAATAATGCATATTTTAAGTATATCTAATTAAAGTTTCTTGAATGTTGCCTTATTTGATTACAGCTAAATTATTGCAGCCCCCAACCTGAGAAGTTTCCCTGCCCCTGTCCTAATCTGCTTTCCAGCAGGACTGAAAGAGTCACTACCTTCTAGGCCTCATCAGAGTCAGAGGTGGAGGAAGGAGACATGGTGTCAACTCCTATTTAGGACAGAAGGCTACAGATACCAGGGGTTTTGGTAGGAGGGAGGGCCAGAAAACCTACAAAGACCCAGGAATGGAGAACTGAAGGCCTGGGTTCTAGGATCCTACTGTGCCAGGTCTTGTGCTGAGCACTGAGGACACAGAAAGCAGTCAAGCTGGCTGGCCTTTGCCCTCCACAAACCTCTCACAGAGTCTGCTCTGTAACCTTGGGAAAGTCCTAATCCAGAGCCCAAACGTCCCCATTTGAAAACAAGGATGACACCTGCTTTCCTTATTAAAGAGAGGAGAGCCATAACCTTTGAGAAAAGCTGCACGGGCCAAGTATCAATGACTGTCTCGTGCTGTGATGCGCTGTGTCCCCTCGGGTCGTCCCTGCCCTTGTCTGGGCTTCAGTTTCTCATCTGCACTAGAACCCGATTGGCCTGAATAACCTCATGACCCTGACACCTGCGTCGGTAACCCTGTCCTGCACAGCCGAAGCCTGAAGCCCACCTTAGCCTGGCTCAACCCCCAGCCAAAAGAGCACGAGTACTGGCCTCACCTGTCGGGGGCGCGTAGGCCCGGGCCAGGGCCGGGTGGGTTGGCCTGGGCCCCACGGAGGCTATAGGACCACCTGCGGGCCCGTTCAGGAGGCGGCGCCCCGGGTCCCGCAGTCGGAGGCAGCTCCTCCACATCGCGCCCGAGGGCCTGAGAGGACGCGCGGCGCGAAACCTGGGAGCACAAAACACAGAACGAAGAAACCCCCAAGGCGCACGCTCCGACTGTACGGAAATCTCACAGACTCCGCAGAGCCCTCAGCCTCCCCTGGACGCCGCCATCTTCCGCATGACACCAACGGCGCGCCGTCGCCGGCGCGCGCCTCCTGCGCACCGCCCCCCCGTCAATCAGCATCACAAACGCATCTCGCCCCGCCCCCTCCCACGCCGTGCCTCGGCCAGAAGACTACAAGTCCCAGCGGGCCTCTCGCGCACCCCGCCACGTGTTTTCTCTGCCCGCCAATGAGCGGAAGCGCCGCGTGAGCCTGCTCCCGCCCTCCTGGCTCGCCCAAGCCAATCGGAAGGGGTGGTGTGTGTGTGTGTGTGCGCGAGGGCAAGTGGGGAGGGGGACCCAGCTCAGGACGGGGAGGCCCTGCTCGCAGGTCTCGGGGTCCCGGTGGTGGCCGTAGCGCTAGGTCCGCAGGCGGCGGGCAGGTGGTCCCCCCTCCCGCTCCCTCTCGGCGCGTGCGCGCCCCAGCCTCTCCCTCCTCGCCACCCTCTCGGCTCCCGCGCGGCGGCGGCGGTTCCTCTCCCCCTCCCCCAGCCCTGGCTCCGGGGGACCCCGCGATGCCGGTACGCACCGAGTGTCCCCCGCCGGCCGGTGCCTCGGCTACCTCCGCGGCCTCACTCATCCCGCCGCCGCCCATCAACACCCAGCAGCCCGGCGTGGCCACCAGCCTGCTCTACAGCGGCTCCAAGTTCCGCGGCCACCAGAAGAGCAAGGGGAACTCGTACGACGTAGAGGTGGTGCTGCAGGTGAGCGCCGGGCCGGGCCGGGCCGGGGCCCGAGGGCCTCCTCGCGGCGCTCACGGGCCGGCCGTGCCCGCCCAAGGCTCCTCGAGCCCGCAGCCGCGGACCAGGCCCTCGCCGCCGGGGCCTCCTGCACCCGGCGCTTCCCACCCGGGACCTACCCAGCTGGTGTCTCACACTCCGAGCCCCAACCCTGACCTGCCCCCTCGGACTCGGAGCCTGTCGCGACCAGCTCCTGGCCGACCCCGAACACTCTCCCAGACTTGAAGCCCGTGACGGCCCGCTGGGGATCCGGAAGCCCCCATGACTGGCTCCCCTATGGCCTGGATCCTTCCTCCCTGTGACTTGACCCCAGACCAGTCCTTCACAGTCCCTGAAGAACTCTCTATTGATTTCCCCAGACTCGGGACGCTACCCATGGCTGGGCCCATGTCAGAATCTCCCAGACCTAAGACATGAGCCCCCCTTTCCTCAGTCCCAGGAATCCTCAGACCCTGGGGTTTTCCTCTTCCTGAGATTTTCTCCTCAGGAGAGTTTGATCAGCTCAGACGTGGGAGCACCCTCCTTCCATTGGTTGAGCATCCAGTCCACAACTGATTGGTCAGACTCTGGGCCCTCTCAAGACCAGGCACTCCCTGGGTGCAGCTGGGTGGGGCTCCCACAGTCTGTTAGGATCTTGCCACCCACTGCTTCAGCCTCTTGTGGTCTGGGCACCCAGCTCCTCCCAGCTGCCCCCAAACCCAGGTCTCCTGCCGCAGGCTTCTCACACTCCCTCTGCCTGCTCTGTGACCATGTCCAGTCTGCCCTCGCTGGCCTCTCCACCAGACTTGCCCGCTGCATACCTTTGTCTTGCTCATTCCTGGTTCCAGGGGTCCCTCTTGCCATGTTCTTAACTTTTCTTTACACAGGGACAGGGCTTCCTCCCGTCTCTGATACCCACGTGCTAGGAAACCTAACTCACTCAGTTTTGTTTCATGTCCACTCACCTCCCCCCATTTGACCTGGATTTCTGAGTACCTGCTGCCAGTCCCTGATCAGCTTTGGAACTGCAGCTCCACCTGCCTGGCCCTTGCCCCTCTCATGCTTGACAGTTTTTCCCAGCCAAAGGGGATTGGTGGTAGTGAATACTCCTTTTTATGTCCCTTTCCTGTACCTACCCCTGCCTGCCTGAGGACCCACATTCCCCTCCCTTTTGCTTCTTTTTCCTTAGTTTGACACCCCACCTCCTAGGCTGTTCCCCAAACCCCCTCCAAACATCTGTCCCCTTGAAAGCCCTTCCAGAAGCTTTGAGGCTCTGTATGCTGCCTCACTGCCCCAGTGTGTGATGGTAGAACATACAATGTGTCTGTTCCTCATGCTTTTGGCCTTTTTAAATTTTAAATTTTAGCCTCGCTTCAGAACAAGTAGGTCTCCCACCTAAAATACAATGGGGGTGCCTTTCTGCCAGCTGTAAAGCACTCACTCATCACTGTCTTTTTTTCTTACTGCTTTGTGGGAATAAGTAGGGTTTTTTTGGTTTTGATTAGGAAGACTGCACCTTTATGTTAAGTGTCTCTTTGGTCTATAAACTTAAAGTTCTTAAAGTGAGCCATGATATTTATTATAATTGAAAAACTATTGTGGCTGAAATATTTCCATCTTCATAACTATATGTCTAATGTGATTTTTTTTTTTTTTTTTGCTTAAAATGTGAGAATCTAGTATGAAGGTATGAATTTGTGCCCATTTTTGAATTTGACGGTTTCTGATGTGGGAGGGGACGATGGGCAGGCTAGCCAGGCATCAGAGGGAAATCTGCTTTGGTTACTGCAGCAACTCTTCCCTCCTGTCACCAGTGTGTTGTTTCTACTCCTGTCAGGGGTCAGTCTCTTTGTGAGCCAGTGGAAGCTGCGATTAAGTTGAGGTGTGACTGAACCTGCCCGATGTCTGGATTGGCTAGCTAATTGACTGTTCACCAGTCAGTGGCATGTGAATTGCCCCATCACCTGGTTTTTCAACCAGGACTAGTTTCTCAGACTCAGCCTTCTTAGAATACTCTTCCTGCCTTTTTTTTTTTTTTAAGACAGAATCTCTGTTGCCTAGGCCAGAAGTTCACAGCAACCTCAAACTCCTGGGCTCAAGTGATCTTCCTGCCTCAACCTCCCCAGTAGCTGGGACTACAGGCACATGCCACCACGTCTGGCTAATTTATTCTATTTTTAGTAGAGACGGGGTCTCACTTTTACTGAGGCTGGTCTCAAACTCCTGAGCTCAAGTGATCCTCCCGCCTTGGCCTCACAGAGTGCTAGGATCATAGGCCAGAGTGCTAGGATTACAGGTGTGAGCCACCACGCCTAGCCTCCTGCCTTTTATAACTCAGCTTCTTTTTTCCTTCTTTCTTTCTTACTTTCACTACCTTTATTTAGGTACAATTCATCCATTTACGGTGTATAGTTAAATAGTTTTTAGTATATTCACAGAGTTGTGTAACCACCACCATAACCCAATTTTAGAACATTGTTATCACTCCCCCAAAAAATCCTCCTACCCTTAGCCATCACCCCTTTCCAATCCTAAGCAACTGCTAATCGGGGTTGGTGTTTTTTTGTGTTTTTTTTGTTTGTTTGTTTGCCTATTCTGGACATTTCATAGAAATGGAATTAAACAGTATTTGTTCTTTTGTGACTAGCTTCTTTCACTTAGCATAATGTCCTCAAGGTTCATCCTTATGATAGCATGTATCAGCATTTCTTTCCTTTTTATTGTTGCATTATTCATTGTGACAATTGTCCAGTGTATGGATATACAACATTTTGTTTATCCATTGATCAGTTGATGGACATTTGGGTTGTTTCCATTTATTGGCTATTATTAATAATACTGCTGTGAACATTTATGTACGAGTTTTTATGTGGACATACATTCCATTTCTCTTTAGTAGTTAGATACCTAGGAGTGGAATTGCTGGGTCATAATGATAACTCTATGTTTAACATTTTGACGAACTGCCAGTGATTTCCAGCCGTTTTCCATTTCTGCCAGCAGTGTATGAGGGTTCGACTTCTACACATCCTTACCAACACTTGGCTGTTGTTCATCGTTTTCACTGTAGCCATCCTATTGGCTTTGAAGGGGTCTCTCACAGTGGTCTTGATGGGAATTTCCCTAATGACTAGTGATGTGCATCTTTCATGTGCTTTTTGGAGCACTTTCTTTTTTGAGATGTCAGTATAAAGAGTTCTTCCAACCTTTGTGAGGTTCTGACTGGGTCTTTTTCTTTTTCCCCCTCTTACTGTGACTACTCTTTCCTCCTCTGCCATCTAAGAAGCCAACAGTAGGATGAAGCCCAGGTCACTGTGAAAGGAATATTAAAAAGAGCAGCCGTTGGACACAGCTGTGCTGTGAGAGCTTCTAGCTGAGCACGTGCCCTGTTATCTTTCTCATTGAGATGCTGGCCTGCCATTTGCTTAAGCCATACACATTGTGGTGTGAGTTCACCAACCATCTTTAAGATCAATTTGGGCAGAATGGGAGAGACACATGGTTGAATGGAGGCCAAGCTGAAATTCTGATTCTCAAGCATGTGATAATCCATGCAAAATGTTAGCCAATTTACAGTTTAATTTTTAATCGTATTAGCAAGTATCCTTGCCACCTGATACCCTTTGCAGCAGCTGTGAAACCCCAAACTGTATTGAATTCAATGAGAATTGCATATATGAAATTTAAAGCTTCAGGTTAGTATTTTGTGTCCTTTAGTAAAAGTCCGTTGCTGAACCATGTTAGTGTGGTCAGCTGTTTTAGATAATGTCCAATGCCAAGGTCAGCAGATGAGGATATTTAAAATGCTTTGGCAGTTTTCACATGGAATACCTTTGTCACCAGCACCAAACTGTGAAGGCACTTTGGCTTCATTGAAGCTTGTTTGCTTTGGTGCTGACATCATCTGGCTGACTAAGTTCATTACAGTTTTTAAGGATTGCCTTAATATTTGATTTATGGTTTATTTATTTATTTATTTATTTTTTGAGACAGAGTCTCACTTTGTTGCCTGGGCTAACAGTGTCAGCCTAGCTCACAGCAACCTCAAACTCCTGGGCTCAAGCGATCCTCCTGCCTCAGCCTCCGAGTAGCTGGGACTACAGGCGAGCACCACCACACCTGGATAATTTTTTCTTTTAGTAGAGATGGAGTCTCACTCTCACTCAGGCTGGTCTTGAACTCCTGACCTCAAGGTTCAAGCAGTCCTCCCGCCATGGCCTCCCTGAGTGCTAGTATTACAGGTGTAAGCCACTGTGCCCAGCCTGATTTATGGTAAAATTGGAAGTAGTTGAATTCACAAATCTGATAAATGCCACAAAA